TTTTTTTTTTTTTTTTTTGGAAAAGTAATTCATAATTTTACTTAGGTCTTTTCAAAAACTTTGAGCATTCTTTTATTCATTACACATGGCAACTATTCTTTTTTTTTTTTTTCCCCGTATAATCAGTTCCTGGTTTCATTGATCTCTTCTATTGTTTTTTAGATTCTATTTCATTTATTTCTACTCTAATCCTTATTACTTCCTTTCTTCTGCTGTTTTTAGGCTTCATTTTTTTGTTCTTTTTCTAGCTCCTTTAGGTGTAAGGTTATGTTGTTTATTTGAGAATTTTCGTGTGTCTTGAGGTAGGCCTGTATTGCTAAAAACTTCTCTGCCGTGTTTGTTGTACCCAAAGATTTGGGACCATTATGTTTTCATTTACAGTTGTTTCCATGTATTTTTTTTTAAATTTATCCTTTGATTTCCTCGTTGACCCATTCATTGTTTAGTAGCATGTTTTTTAATTCCCGTGTATTTGTGGTCTTTCCAAAATTTTTTCTTATAGGTGACTTCAAGATTCATAGTGTGTGGTCAGAAAATGTGCATGATATGATCTCAAATCTTTTTGTGCTTGTTGAGGATTTGGGACTTAGTATGTGATCTATTCTGGAGAATGTCCCATTTGCACTTGAAAAGAATGTGTAGTCTGCTGCTTTAGGATAGAACGTTCTGCATATATCTGTTAAGTCCATCTGGTCCAGTGTGTTATTCAAAGCCATTGTTTCCTTGTTGATTTTCTGCTGAGAAATTTTCTGCTGTCCACTGATGTAAGTGGGATGATAAAGTCCACTAGAATTACTATATTATTATCACTTAGTTCCTTTATGTTTGTTATTGTTTTATATATTTGGGTGCACCCATGTTGGGGGCATGAATATGTACAATTGTTAGATCTTCTTGTTGGGCAGTCTCCATTATTATGACATCGTACCCTTCTTCACCTCTTGTTATAGTCTTTGGTTTAAAATCTAGTTTGTCTGGTGTAAGTATGGCTTCTCTGGCTTTCTTTTTTGTCATTCATTGCATTATAAATGTTTCTCCATCCCCCACTTTCAATCTGCAGGTGTCTTTGGGTCTAGAATGAGTCTCTTGTAGGCAGCATATAGATGCATCTTGTTTTTTTATCCATTCTGATACCCTGTGTCTTTTGATTGGGGCATTTAGTCCATTTACATTCAGAGTAATTATTGATAGATGTGTATTTAATGCCATTTTATACTTGTTTTGTTGTTGCTTCTGGAGATCATCTCTGTTCCTTTCTTTGTCATATTTGATCTTTCCTTTCTACTCAAAGAGTCTCCTTTAATAAGTCTTGCAGGACTGGTTTAGTGGTCACAAACCCCTTTAGCTTTTGTTTGTCTGGGAAACTATCTCTCCTTCTATTCTGAATGGCAGCCTTGCTGGATAGAGTATTCTTGGCTGCAGATTTTTCCCATTCAGCATGTTGAATATATCATGCCACTTTCTTCTGGCTTGCCAAGTTTCTATTGAGAGATCTGCAGCTAGCTTTATGGGTCTTCCCTTATAATTTAGGGACTTCTTTTGTCTTACAGCTTTTGCTTTTTTTCTTTATTGCTATATTTTGCAAATTAAATTATGATTTGTCTTAGCATTGGCCTGCTTTTGTTGATTTTGATGGGAGTTCCCAGTGCCTCCTGGATCTGGATGTCCAGATTAAGGAGGTTTTCAGTTATTATTTCCTCAAGTAAATGTGCTCTCTCTTCTTCTTCTGGGACTCCTAAATACTAATGTAATTACGTTTGATGGAGTGATTGAGTTCCCTATACATGTCAACTATTCTTAAATTCCCCTTCCATTCTTTTTCTCTTTCTAGTGATCTTTCACTTTGCCCTGCTCAGGAGTCAAGTATTCTCTTTCACCCCTTCACTTTCCTTGCTATACTCTTTATATGAAGGGTGTGGACTTGGGCTTTTTCCCCTCTTGTTTTTATCCCAATCTTCCAGTTCTCTTTTTGTTATCTGTCACGTAATTCTGCATCACAAATATTAATAGTTCTTTTAGGAAGGGGGTGAAAGGAAAGGTCAGGCACAATAAATTTCTTTTCTGGGGGAATGGAAGGTTTGGAACACTAATATTTTAACCAAATTTGTCATTAGTGCACTTAAAAAATTGATTAAATCCAATGCTTATTAAATTCATTGTTAATACCAAGCTGAGAACAAAGCATTATTAATTCCTTTGAAAATAAACTCCGTGTTCAGTGAATTTAATAAATAGGAGAAGTAGAAGCCAAAAAGGATGGAATTCATTAATTTGGGACAAAGGTAGAGTAGAATATTAGAGAAAATCCTCAGATCAGAAAATTATAATATAGTTACTGAACAAATATGCACCCTCAGGGAAAAATGATCAGGGGGTCACAGAGGACATTGAATAATAAAGCAACTATGTAGCACTAATGAAGACCAAGCTGAATTCAGAAATAAATTAAGAGAAATGGCAAGACTTTCTTTCCTTCATATTCATTCTAGGAAGACATTTTCTAGCTCTTATACTCATTTTGTAGGATTCAGGAAAATTTCAGCTAAGTTTGGATGATAGTCACAGGTATGATTAATCATTTTTGGAAAGAAAAAACTGGAGTGTGATTTTTACAGGAGAGGATGGCACCAGTCTTCACTTCTGGCTTTAAGAACTGATTGATATAATAGTGAGGCATATTTGGTTAGTCTCTGGGAAAAAAATTATCACATGACATTAGATATCAGAAAACATTAAATTTTTTTTTTAACTTTTAAAAGATTATTTATTTATTTATTTATTTGGGAGGGAGAAAGAGAGGGGGAGAGAGAATCAGAGTAGGGGGAGGGGCAGGCAGAGGGAGAGGGAGAAGCAGACTCTCCCCTGGGAAGGGAGACTGACTTGGGACTTGATCCCAGAACTTTGAGATCATGACCTGAGCTGAAGGCAGATGCTTACTTAGCTGACTGAGCCAGCCAGGGCCTCCCCCATCACCTTTTTAAAAAAATAGACAGTGTGTTGAATCATGTTCTGGGGAAGGATTAGGAGATAAGTTTTATTTTTGAGCTCTTAACAACTGTGGAGGCAGGAATAAGAAGGCTCTGCATTAATACGTGTAGGGTTTTTCCTGCTACAGAGTCAATGATTTTGTGAAGTGTCTTAAAAAATCTATTCCCCAAGATTGCACAAAACACCTTCATTCCTCTTTGTGCATACACAAGATTTATTTCTTGTTTCTGGAACTTACTACTTAATGCTTCTGCTAAGTTCATGAATATTTTAAATCAATTACTTAATCAATAGAGAAATTTTTCTCCTATTATATTTGGCTAATTTAACATTTGACCAAATCAGAATGGTTGAATAAGAGTCTACCAAATGTTATATCTTTGTAGTCTTTTTAAAAGATATTTGCTAGGATCCATATATTCCTAAAGAGTGTTGAGTTTTTTTCAACAAAATCACCTAGATCACAACTGTTCTTGCCTTATTTTGAAATAAGCAGTACATCTTTTTAAATGTATATAGAAGTTCATTTTATTATTATCTCTTTCTCAATAACTAGAGAGGTATACATACATACTTGTGTTAACCCCAGTGTGTTCAGACTGATGTAGACTATAACTTAACCTTATGTCCTGAAACTATGCCATAGTGGTGTACTCTAAACTAGAACCCTCATATTGTTACCTTCTTTGGGTGAGAAGAGAAGGATGAATACTGTGTCCTTCTTTCTTGCTTATCGTGGCATGGTTGTGTTTTTCTTTAACACAGAGGAAAGGAAATTCATTATTGGTTTCCCTTCATTTCATTTCAGATAAATGTAGGATTTTTACTAAGCTTACAAGAAATTGTATATAGACCATGTGGGGAAGTAGCTTGTGCTATCAATAGATAAGGTTTCTAGTTATCCTTATTTATCAATTTTCTAGGTATTACTATGTTGGCCTTTTGAATTTCAGCTTGGGGAGTAAATGCTCAAAAGTTTCAATATCCAACAGGACAAGAACTGGTAGACTAAAGGGACTTTCTTCTGGTTGCTTTAGAGGGCAAACTATTTCTCAGACTTGCAAAGCTATTTTGGTTAGGAACACAGAAATGGTAATTTTGTCTCAGTGGCATTTATAAGGAACGATTTATAGTGGTAGAAGTCTCTCTTTGGATTATTTTTTTTTAAATATTATTTATTTATTTATTTTATAGACAGAGATCACAAATAGGCAGAGAGGCAGGCAGAGAGAGAGAGAGGAGGAAGCAGGCTCCCTGCTGAGCAGAGACCGCCCCCCCCAACTCGGGGCTTGATCCCAGGACCTTGGGATCATGACCCGAGCCGAAGGCAGAGGCTTTAACCCCCTGAGCCACCCAGGTGCCCCTGGAATATGTTTTTATTAACCTTCTTCTATTGAATAGATTTGTACTTTGATGTTATTTTGACATAATAAGATGGTTTTTTCATTTTCCATCAATGAGGCAAAAGACCCACCTTATAAGCATTTCTACCCTGTGGCACCACCTGAATACCTGAGTCATGGCTTCAGTTCAGCCCCTGAGTCAGAGAGAATTCTCTCTGGAGTTTTCAGCTAGAGTTTTCCAATCTTAGCTTGCTATCACATTGCCTGGAGAACTTTTTTTACTCCATTCCTACTCATGTTTTAAACCATATTCCCTTCCTCCCTCACTTTCTGGGGACAAACCTGATGCAGCCTAGCTTTAGAATCCCTGACTACAGGACACTCGAATGCAAATCTCTGGTGCTTCTAAGATAGTATTCTGCTCCATAGATCTTTTCTAGTCTGGAGGTCAAAGTAGTGGGGAACCTTAAATTCTTAGTAGTCCCCTGACAATTTAAAGAGGTACATCAGTGGAGAAGCATATCTTCCCAGGGGAGTGCATAGAGGGTTATAAGGATGCTCTTCAGCACTTAAATCACCAACCACCTGGAAAATCTTTCAGATGACTTAAGCTCATGCCTTCTCTTTTAGATATTGTGCCCATGTTAATTTGAGTTTTCATTCTTTCAGGTTGCGTGGACGCTCATTTTTCTTAAACGCCTGTTTCCTCTGCCTAGCAAGGTAAGAAAAAGATACATAAAAACTCATTTAATTTATCTAGATTCTTTAATAGGTTTAATCAACTTTCTCATTTGCCATTTGAATATGAAAGACTGTTTGAATATCAAAAATTTCATGTACCTTGAAAAGAAGCTTGTGGGTGTCATTGGCTGCCTGGTTGATAAAATGACTTTGGTGAGGGAGAATGTTAGCAATATATGAATGAAAGATCCTGATTTGGGTGTTATTTGGGCTAAGGTAGAAGAGAAGTCAAATTCTGAATTATTTTTTTCTCTGGTGGGAGATCAATACTGTCTAGACATGGTCTCATTATGACTTTGCATTGACTAAGGCAGACTCGGTCAACAGTGGCGCCAACATTCCTGTAATCCAGGCTGCCGGTTGGATATTTGTGTTGCCTGTTACTACAGAGAACCTCTGGTTCACTGGTTTCCAATCTGTGTATCCCGGCATCATCCCTCTCAACTCTAGGGTTAGCCTAGATGACAGCATATGCCAACTCCTGACCTTTTTTTTTTTTTTTTTTTTAAGAATCTGAACCCTAGAAGTCCTGGGAGCTGCTCTCTAGGATTTCCTGGCATGCTTGGTAATAGTTGCATAGGGCATGAGAGGAACTTTGGAGCATTTGAATCCTCTGTGGTCTCTGAAACATAAAACCAGAGACAGTCATACAAGTCACATGTAGAGGCCTCGGGGCACATCTAAAAGCCCAGCTATATTCACTGTCATACAGCTGCCTCCTCATTAATTTCTACAAATAATATCCTCATAGATGGAAATGTCACTAATTTTATATTCAGATTAATTCTTGTTTATAAGAAATTTTCATCTATTTGAGTATATTTTTAAATTGAGGAGGTTTATGATTCTTCACCTGGCATCAGAACTTAAAAATCTTGTCTTCTCTTTGTTAGATATTCAGACTCCTGGCTGTGCTGCTCTGCACAGAATCTTAAGTCCTTCGTTTGTGGTTATTTGTTGGCATTTTGCAAGAGAGTGAAGCAATGTCTGAGCCACTAGAGGCCAGAGGTGGCCCAGCCTGACTGGGTTTCCAACAGTGGAATAAATGTGATTTGTCTAGCATCTTTACTTTTAAACTTTGGGAAAGATGACCGTAGACAGTGAGAAATAATGCTGATTATATAAAGGATTGCTCATGATAAAAGATCTCTTTCTGGAAATTTAAGTGTTCTGGTAGATTAACATTATTGATCATTCTCTTTCCACATAGTCTACAGATGATCTTAGAATCCTGAAACTATTATTCTTTCTTGTCTAGTGTTAATTACCAGAACAAGGAATAATCTAATTAAAAGACAACAAGAATGTGTTCTAATTGTTCTAATAAATTATGCTAATACTCAATGCATTTAGTTACTTTTCAACAGGAATTTATTTAATGGGTTGACAGCTTGTCCTTTATTGCCACAACCTTAACTTTCATTTCTTCTAAACAAGACAACTTATAGTAGGATAGTTAACTGTCCAAAAATCTGTTGGGTCATTAAGAGAATCTAAGGTTCCATGTAGTACATATGGATGAAGAAATGGGTCTGGGGTTTTCTAGATAAAAGAATGACTCAAAACAGAAGAAGGTAAAATAATGACCAGTAGAGTCTATAATAAAAATCAGTAACTGTTGCACTGAGGACAATGGGCTTTTCATTTATTTTTTAATTATCAAGTGCAGTGCTGATAACATGATACTAACTCATGTAATTGTGTTTGCTTAGTTTTAGCATTTTATAAAAATCTGTTAGACACCATATTTTTTATTACATATATGAGATGGTGCCTGCCATCTCATGATGCCTCATGATAATGTCATCCTGAGGCAAAAATTCAGGAAATCATTTCTGATAGCCCTTATGTTTTCTATAGGAGACGCCAGTCTCCCTGCTGATTTGAACATAATTCAGATATAGTTTGTTGGATAACTGTATGAGGGAAGTCTCAATGCAATGTGGAAAAAAGATGCCAAGAAGGACCTGAGGAGGAATAAAAATCCGTGTGAAGAATGGCGGGACGCATACGGATCAGTTCTATATAAATACAGCCACTCGACGTATCTGAGAAAAGCAGATTCCCAGGTTGATTTCTGTTGTTCTCCCTTGACATAACAATCTTTGAAATTTAAGTAACAAGCCTCCAGGTAGAAAGGGATTCAGTACTTTTCAAGACTAGGAAGTGTTTTTGGAAGGGATATTTTTCCACAAGATAGCAGTTTTGTGGGAATAATTTTCCACTTTTGGAAAATTAATCCATTCAAATTGTCAAGTTCATCAAAGAGTATGGGGCTGGTAGGAGTACAGATTCTAGTTTATACTCATAAAGTTAACTTACTTAAGAACAGCAGCCATAGAGACAAAACAAAACAACATGCACACCATAAAAGAAATGAGAATTAAAAGAAAATTATCTTCAGTGGCAAAAGAATGCAAGCAAATTTCTTCCCATTCTGAAGTGCATCAGCTAAGCATGTTTATGATTTTTTTGGCTGCTTGTCCCTGTCTTAATATCCTAGTTCATATCTTCATTTTCAAGGGGAAACTTTCATATGTTCTTTTTCTGTTCTAAAAAGGTGACATTTCTTTCAAGTCCATCAGGCTTGAAGATTTCTTTCCTTTCAAGGAGGCTGAGTGCTATAGAACTCCTAACCCAACTGAAGACCCCTCAGCACCATGTCTAAATTAGATCAAGTACCCGGGTGGGTCTGACCTTCCTTGTTTCTAATGCATTGACAATGTCTGCCTTTGGGAAGCAGCATGGATAGGACACTCATTTCTTTTCTCTTCTTTTTTTTTTAAGCTTTGGCAATTTTTTTTTTTTTTTTTTTTTACTGTGGAAAAATAAAAATAACAAAGTTTTCCATTTTAAACATTTTTAATATATAATTCAGTAGCATTAAATACAACTTTTTAAAATGATTTGGAATGAAAAGGAAATAAGCCTGTGCTCAAATAAGCATTTACATTGTGCAGAGAGATTTTTACATTTTTATTCTGCTTTTTATTTGTTTCCACCCATTCTGAAATTAAGTTTTACCACAAGTGTGATACTAGTTCTAACCAATGATACCCGTCTATGTGAAGCCAGAACAGAATTCCATCTACATTCTAGGAAAGACTGTAGATGCTCCTAGTGGGTTGGGAAGGGTATGTGGCTAGGGATCCAGATAATCAATGGTCACTGGTGGGTAGAGGAACCATGTTTCTCTCTGAAGGTCCTATGGGCACTTCTGGAGCTCAGAGTGTAAATTTGACATGTTGTACATAAATCTGATCTTTTTTTTCTCAGCTTATGGCATTGGAAATTTTTGTTTAGTAAATAATGCAAAATGCCCATTAATATTTTGACAAAAATTGACAATCTGGGGAATTCAAAGTGCGAAACACGTCACATCACTTAAAGTGCTGCCATCCAGCCTTTGACTTGGGCCATGTTGATCACAGAGACCCTCACTGATCACAGAGACCCTGAAACCATTCCACAGGCAGGATGGAGCGTGTTTAAAATGGAATGCCGGAGACAGGGACGCAGCTGAGTCTTCTCCTTTTACTGGCCTTTAATACTACCGGTACATAAACTAAATTTTGATATCTATGAGAATAAAGATAGTGTTAATGATTCATGGAAAATCTACGTTTAAAAGTGTGTAATACTAGCAGTCATCATTTTGAATATTATGTTCTCCAGTTTCATCTATTTGGCAGTTCCTTGTGGTACCCAGAATAAAACTGAAACTCCTTAGTAGAGGATGAGGGCCCCCTAGCACTCCCCCATTTACCTGTATTTCCCTCTTCATCTCCCCTTATTCCTACGAATGTTCTGTACTTCACTCTGGCATTACTTCATATCATTTCCCAAACATTGCAGGTTCACTTCTCTTAGGCTTTAGCACATGCTTCTCCCTCTGCTTGGAAACTCCTTGAACTACTGAACCTTCAGAATCCAGTTCACATATTGCCTCCAAGAAGCTTCTGCCAATTCTTCCCAACAGTGTAGCTCATTCTCTCTGTGTCAGCACTCTGACCATTACACACTTGCATTTTTGCTCTTAAAACACATAATTATTTTTACATGTCTCTTCCTCCTGCCAGAATCAGAGTTACTTATAGCCGAATGACATTTCAACTCAATAGGAACCAGTATATATATATATATATATATATATATAATTTTTTAAAAATTTTTTTTAGCTCTCCCTACATCTCTTATTTTTGAGTTTCCACTAAGATTCAGGAACTTAAGGCTTTCAAGTACTGAATGAAAATGACAGTCAACTTGGAATTAACTCAAAATCCTATAGCCAGTGAAAACATTCTTCAGGAATGAAAGGAAGTCAAGATATTCACAGATTAAGGAAAACCAAGAGAATTTGTGACTAGTAGAGCTACTCCAAAAGAATAGCTAACAGAAAGGAAATGATTAAAAACAAAAAACAAACAAACAAGAGGAACCCTGGAACAGAGGAAGGAAGAAAGAACACAGTAAGCAAAATACTGGTAAATACATTAGGCTTATTTTTTCCTCTTGAAATTTCTAAATTATATTTAAAGATTGAAGTAAAAATTATAGAACTTTCAATTTGGCTGCAAATGATTGCAATATTTAAAATAATTATAAATGGAGACAGTAAAAGGACATAAAAGGAGGTAAGCTTTCTATACTTTATTTAGACTGGTAAAATGACACCAGTTGTTTTGTGTTCACAAGTTATGAATATATAATACCTAGAGCAACCACTATAAAATTATACAAGGAGATGTACCCCAAAACACTTTAGATACATTAAAATAGAATTCCAAAAAATGTTCAGATAACCTACAAGAAGGCAGGAAAACAAAAACGGAAAAACACAAACCAGAGAGAACAAAGAACAAACAAAAATTAAATACTAGGCTAAGTCCTAAAATATCAACAATTACATTAAAGTTAAATGTCTAAATATACCACTTATAACAGAGATTGGCAGAGTTGTTTAAAAAACATGACCCAGC